AGAAAGGGTACTGGGAGTGAGGTAGGGCTGGGGAAAGGCCAGAGGAGCAGGGGAGCGCCAGGCTGGCAACTCCCCAGGCTGCAGGGCCTGGTCCTAGGCCCAGAGAGGTACTGGGTGGTAGAGGAAGGCAGCAGGTCTGAACCCCCTTGCCTATGATGAGTGGCTTTTACACTGCAGTCTGCCCCAGGGAATGGGGGCTTGGTGATGACTGTCAGTAGCCCAGACTGAGGCAAGGTGTGGATAGAGGGTTGGGGGTTCCCCTGGGTGGGGAGACTCTGAGACTGCAGGGGTATTGCCAGGAGGCAGCACCCCAGAGACAAAAGGCACCAGGTCCGGCAAAGGGCGCTCCTGGGTTGAAGAGCTAATTCCCTGAGATGACCAGCAGGAGGTGCTGCAGGGGTGAGTCCCGCATCGCTACAGTATCAAATATGTATTTTAAAGGAAATTCTCCTTAAAAGTCAACACTAACATTCTATCTACATCCCACACATGTTTAGTACGAATAATACACTAATGTTTTGTCACCTGATAGCTCAATGTTTAGTTTCAATAGGGCTCCATTTATTCATTAGTATTACTATTTAGTTATTTATTTGCAAGCCTATAATATAAACACTTTACAGAATTACAAACTACATATTAAAATTAACTTTAACTCTCAACAAAATGCAGCCACATGTGGGAAACAAGTAGTGATATCCTTAATTTCACCCAACTGAGCTCTGTGCTAACTATCTATCTTATAGCCAAATCATGACCTAAACAAGAAAAATCCACAAAATGCCAGGAAACTTCATAAGCTTCAACTTGCAGAGTTTTGTACAAATCATTCTGTTGTGGAGAGAAAGATGTAAGAGTAGCTGTGAGGAAATCAGGCATAGGCGCCAACTCCATGGGTGCTCTGGGGCTGGAGCACCTACGGGGAAAAATTGGTGGATGCTTTGCACCCACCGGCAGCTCCCCGTCCCAGCTCACCTCCGCTCCGCTCCTCCCCTGAGCCCGCAGCGTCCCCGCTTCTCCCCCTAGCTCCCAGTGCTTGCCGCCGCGAAACAACTGGGGCAGGGATTTGGAGGAGTCGTCCAATAGGGGCAGGGAGGTGGCGGAGTTGGGGCGGGGACTTTAGGGAAGGGGTTGGAATGGGTGTGGGGCAGGGGTGGAGTTGGGGCGGGACCTGGGGCGAGCACTCACTGGTGCAGGGAAAAGTTGGTGTCTATGAAATCAGGACATTCACAGAGGGCAAATGTGTTTCCTCAGAAGCCCAGTGCCTCAGTGCTATTCCCTGGATCAATCCCCTCCCCCACACCATTACAAGGTTCTGAGGGCAGAGTATTATTCTCAATAACATAATGCAGACATGCTGTCTTTAACAGGGAAATCGCTGTAGATTTGGAGGATAATGATATTGTGGAGAGTGCTTCTCCCTTGGCCTCCTCCCTGCTAAACCCCTTCAAAAACTTAGGAACCCCAAGTGTACAAGGATTGCTTACAGATGTATCTGTGAGTTAGAGAAAGGAGGGGTTCATGGAGCTAAGGCTCAAACACATCCTCCCCTCACCACTGTCAACAAAAATCTGACTTCTGTACTTGAAGCAAGGTGAATGAACTGACCCTTAATGACTCTTAACCCCTAAACTTAATGTTACTTCCATCTATTTCTTAAGTGGTTATTAACAGCTCTTTATATGGATGACCTTATTTTTTTCTAGCTATAATAGGTTGTTTTTATCATGTATAGAAAATGTTTATCTATACTATAATTAACTATATTATAATTACTATAATCAACACAATGATTTTAGTCACAAGTTAGGCCTCTTGATATAAGGGAATCATATAAAGAATCTATGTGCCATTACATTTGTAAATAAAATCATGAAAGAAAATACAACACCGCACATGTGGAAACAGGATTGGGGCCACAGAATGTATCTGAATGCTAAATAAAATCTCGGATAGGCTTCTGAGTTATCACAATGCAATCAGGTTTGGTTTTTTTCTTGTAATATGTTTTATAGTGATACCTTCATTGTAGTAAATAATGCCAGAAATCATTGAAAATTAAGCAAATGGGTCTTAACAACTATACACGGATAAGAAACTGACTAATAGCTCAGAAAATAGCAATTTTAAGACTGACACCTAAAAAATTGAAATTGACATCCTTATTCACTCTACAATTAGGTGATTTTTAAAAGAAATGAAAAACACACTTGGTTAAATTAATTCTTAGTGTAACCCCAATGAAATTAACGTACACAAGGAAATAATTTGACTCAGTTTAAGTTAAAAGTTTATTAAACTGATCGTGCCCTTATTTTATGTCTCCCTATCTTTGTGCACTGTCTGATACAACTACTGCATCTTGTTTTAGGCTTGGTCTACACTAACAACTTATGCTGGCATAACTATGTAACTACTGCTCAGCACCCACCATTTTTTCCCTCCGGGTGCTCCAGCCCCAGAACACCTACAGAACTGGCCTTATGGTCCCACCGGGTCCATTCATCTTTTGTTCCTCATAGATCCTCTGGTTTCCCAGTCTAATCAATCCTGTTTCAAACTAATTGTTTGCTGCCACCAGCCCCACCATCTCTTGTCCTCTATCTCCAAAGTTTCTGCTCCAATCCATCCTCTGCCCCTACATATCTCTTCCCAGTCCACCTTTTGCCTTCACTTCAGTCTCCAATGTATCCTGTACTCTACAGCCAATTTTTTCCTTCATCAGTACATCATTTGCCAATGAGCACCCACCAGTCCTATCAAGACATTATTTAGCTCCCCAATCAACTGTCTCTTCTCATCTCCCCTCACAGACTCCCAATAAAATCTCTTTACCACTCTTCATCTTCCCCTTTCAATGGTTTCTCCTTGTATCTAATCCATCCTATGTCACACTAAACCCATAAAGCAATGTTCTACACAACAGTCCAATTCATTGTCTGTGACCACCCTTCAGACATCTGATCCTCCCGTCCAGCAACCCTGATACCAACAAACTGATCCTCTATCCCCTCATGAGCAAACTGATCCTGTGATCTCCACAAAGGTTTTCCTCAGAATACTGACCCTGTCTCCCACAAACCCAGCTGTTTCACCCTTCTGTTTACCTTCAGGATTCTTTTCCCTCTAATCCAGAGGAGAGAGACACTTATTGCTGGCAGGAGGCAAGCAGTAGCTTCAGGAGGACACAGGGCTGTGGCCTGCAGAAAAAGAGAATGATGTGGAGGGGTTGTACTAGGACTATGTTGCCTCACACTCCTGGACTGGACTGCCTCTAAGGGCTAGGATGAGAGAATGTTGGCTGTATCTCTTTTTGGTCATAACTATTAAACCAACTGTTCCTACAGTATTTGCACCCTTTACTTCTGGCCTCCCCCAGTAAAGAAAACCTCTGTTACCTGACATGTGGTAGTGTTAATGGGGACCCACAGAAAGCTAGAGCCTGAAGTGCCTAATGCTTGGACCATGTACACTTGAATCCAAGCTTGTTCTCAGGTCAACATGCTGACCCCTAGGGAATAGTGTATGACACACTGTAGTGGGGTCAGTTACTATATTATATAATCATAAGCCCCTTCCCCTGTGTGTTGCCATAATCATTTTAGAGATGAAGGCAAAAGGGCAAGGGGCTGATTTTCAGAAGTATAGGCACTAGCAGCTCCCAATTATTTCAACTGCAGTTGCAGGTGTTCAGCATTTTTGTAAATCGGGTCCTAAGTTACTTGGTCAAGGCCACAGGGGGAGTCCAGTTAGAACTGGAATTAGAATGCAGGAATGTTTGCTTTCATTCCAACGTAACAGTGCCATAAAAACATATTTAACAACTGAATCCTATCATAGCCTATCAATTTCTGAGCCCAATCCCCAAATTTTATCACACCGAGTACATGTAAAGCTGCTTTGAATCCTTACAGAACCTCAGTGCTTCCAGATTGAACAGTGTCACAAAAACCTGTATCCAGTGTCTGCATCCTGTTGAATCCAGGTGCCAGACACATTTTTATTGTGTATTGGGCAAGGATACATTAGGGTCCAGATTTCTGTAGTGAAGTAGGAGCAGCTAGCTCTTTCTTTAGCTTTCCAGGGAAGCAGGAGAGGCTTGCTCTTTATTTAAATTGTTCTCTTTGCACCCAAAATGTGGCAAGCTGGATCTAGGTGCCAGAATCATCTTTCTTCTATGCTGTTGTGCTGGGATGAGTCAGGATCTAGATATTCCCTGTATAATAAGGAGCAGTTAGACTTGTTTTGTGTTTAGTCAGTGGGATTTGTGGATTCAGGGCACAAAGGTTAACTCCAGGTTTTTGTGGCACCGGGTCCAGATTTAGTGGTGGACTCAGAACAGTTTTACTCTGTTCTTTATCTCTGTGATAACTTTGGAGGGTTGGGTGGACCAGACTCTGGAAGGATCCAGGCATCAGGTCTGTGTGTTTGTAAGGTGACCAGATGTCCCGATTTTATAGGGACAGTCCCCATTTTTGGGTCTTTTTCTTATATAGGTTCCTATTACCCCCCACCCCGTCCCAATTTTTCACATTTGCTGTCTGGTCACCCTAGTGTGTTTGAGGTATGGTTCCATCGTGCCTTGTAGGGGTTGTTTGGTGTGCCCCTCAAGAGGCTACAATTGTTTTCTATGCTGCTAGCACAGCTTTGGGCGCAGGATCTCTGTAGACCCAGCTCTTACGTTCTTCCTTTAACAATGAAGCTGAGATGAACCCTAACAGTTCTAGGTCCCCCGGACGGAGACAAGTCGCAGGCTCCCGTTGTGACCAGGCGAAAGACTCGTCGCCGCGCGACCCCTCAGCTTGTCAGACCCAGGGCGGGAAAAGGGGGCTGTCGGGCAACGCGCTGGGGGCGGGGCGTAAGGCGGGGCCCTGCGGGCGGCGGAGGGGGCGTGTCAGCCCTGCCTCCTCGATGTTGTTGTTGTGGTCTCTTTAAGCCGGCGGGGGGGGAGGAAGGGGGGAAGCGGGAGACTCTCGCGATATCAGCCTTGGCGCCGTGACCTCCATGTGAGAGCGGTAGCTGCTGGTAAACACTCCCCGGGGCTCGGACATGGCTCCCGGCGGTGCCCGTTAGACCTGGCCGCGGCGGTTCGCTCCGGACGCTTCTGCTTATTGTGCTGCTCGCAGCCTCGCTTACACGTCGCTGCGGGCGCCCTCGGGCCGACGGGGGCGGGGGTCTGGTCTCCTCGCCCCTGTGAGCGAGGCCGACGGCCTGGGAGGCTCGGGCTGCTCCGCGGCTTTACAATCCTGCCCCGCTGAGCCAAAACAAAGAAGCGGCAGAGGCGCCCCCGCCCCACACGCACCCGGAGAGCGGGCGGGAGCCACGGCCGGCAGCCTCCCGAGCGGCCGGCAGCCGCGCACCATGTGGATCCAGGTCCGCACCATAGACGGCACCGAGACCCAGACCATCGACGACCTGAGCCGCCTCACCAAGATAGAGTGTCTGCGGGAGAAAATCCAGGAGAGCTTCCGAGTGAGCCCCGAGCGGCAGCGCCTCTTCTACCGGGGCAAGCAGGTGAGGCGGGAACGCCCCCATACCTGCCGCCACCCCCCGCGCTCTTTGTGTGCCCGGGGGCGGCGCTCCGGGCTGCCCGGCCATGCGAGCCGCCGGCTCCGGCTTTTGTTTACTCGCTCTCGCTGGGCCTAGGGCAGCGTGAGGGGTAGGAGAGGCCGAGCAGCCCGGCTCCCCCTTCCTACGACTCTGCCGGCCCAGGGACCAGGCGGCGTCCCCGGGAGGAGAGGGTGTCGGACCGACTCCTTTGTGTTTGCTTTCCTAACTGGACAGCCTCGCGCCTCCCCCTGCCGTGCCCGGGGATGGGAGGAGACGCGGCGGCTCCTCGAGGCTTCCCTCTTGGTGGTGTCCCCGTTGGCTTCAGCAGGGGAGGTGCCTCCCCCGGCTGTGTAGAAAAGCGGCTTCCAGGGCGGAGCGCCGCTTTCAGGCCCCGCACGTGTGTATGTGGCGCGGGGAGGGGGGCCGGGGGCGTGCGCCTGAGCGAGGTGGGGGTCTCTCCTCCCCGGCCTCGCGCCAAGGATTAACGGTTTTGTGGAACAGTTGGGCCTGGCTATGAACCCTCCCCTCTCCTGGGGGCGGGGGGCCGGCTTGCACAGAGGGGGGGGGGGCGCACGTGACTAGACCACGTGGGTACGGGGGGCTCCAAGAAGTCGCCTCTTACCCGCCTTGGCTTTAGTTTCACATGCACGAACTGAATAAGCCTGAGCATAGCTTGCCCCAGCTGGAGTTTTGCACCTTGTCTGCACTAGCCTTTCTCTTCCCCTACCTCCTAAACTTCCCGCAGTTGCCGCTTCTCCAGTGGGAGAGCTACCACAGACAAGGTACCAGTGCCTACTGGTGTCATACTAGTTGCATTAGCTGTCCCTGGATTGAACAGTTTGTCAATACTGTGCTTAAAAATCTTTTTGTGAGCTATGCTGTGGCTAGAGCAGGGGTTGGCAACCTTTCAGAAGTGGTGTGCCGAGTCTTCATTTATTTACTCTAATTTAAGGTTTTGGGTGTCAGTAATACATTTTAACATTTTTAGAAGGTCTCTTTCTATAAGTCTATAATATATAACTAAACTATTGTTGTATGCAAAGTAAATAAGGTTTTTAAAATGTTTAAGAAGCTTCATTTACAATTAAATTAAAATCCAGAGCCTCCCCAGACCGGTGGCCAGGACTCAGGCAGTGTGAGTCTTGAAAATCAACTTGCGTGCTGCCTTTGGCACGCGTGCCATAGGTTGCCTACCCCGGGCTAGAGCAATGTTAGGTATTGCTGTGTCCAGAGAGGACCTGCCCGTGTCCGTGGCTATAGCTGTAGATGCTATCATCATCATATAGACATAGGGTAGTGGCAAATGAGGTATTCAGAATGCTGCAAGAATAGTAGAGGAAGGGCATAAAAGACAAAAGGAAAGGGAGGTTGGATGTGATGGCACCAGAGATGTACACTTCAGTGTGGCTGAATCTGCCCTTTTTTTTTTTTTTTAAATAGAGTGGTCTGGGCTACCACTGGATTCAGTGTGGCTCTAACCACTATGGCCAGGTTATCTGTCTCTAAGATTAGATATGTATTGGTGTGAATAATAGAAGTAGTCATAACGAATTGGATATGATATTCGTCATCAACAGGTGACCTTTAACATGTTTTTCTGTATCTAGTGCTCCATAGAGTGAGGAAATGTCTGTGAAAGATGCTATATAAAGATTGCAATTCCTATGGCAGGAATGTTAATCTGGAAGTTAAAATTTTACTTGAGGATTAAAGTTATAATAATAATAATTGTGAAGCCAGAAGCTGAAGCAGAGCTTGGAGCAGTTAGAAGTGGGCAGAGTTGGTGTCAGTTTGACCTTTCTTTCAGTCATGTTGATGTCAATACATCTACCCACTTCCTGAAGGGGAGATTGGGGTCTGGCTTGTTGATTGCAGGGACACAGGGCTGGTTAGAGCAGAAAGTCACTGCTTTTGTTTCCACCTTGATTCCCCCCTCCCCCCACCTCTCTCTTTATTTCCGCCCTGTGCTACTATGACTGCCTCCCCCCTCCCCCCAAACAAAAACAAAACAATTCTGTAGGCATTAATTGCTATAGATCCATAAAGGACCCTTGGTAAAAGTGCTTGACCCTATCTGTACTAGAACTTCCACTATTTCTATAGTTGTGAAAAAGTAAATATCAGTTTTGCTAGACTGGCTCTTAAAGTGGAGAAGCTTACAGGGTAGAGCCTCCTAAACTTTGTTTACCTTAGCAAAGGTCACACTTACTCATGATTGTGTTGTCCTCCTACAGAAGTAAAGTCGGGCTTCCTCCGTGGCTTCCCTTCATCACCTGTTCAACTCAACAGATTAAAATTGAAGTCTTCTAATCTGCCTGTGATTAACTCTTTGCAATTCTACTTTTTAAAGTAATTTAAGAGACACTGGCATGATGCTCAGTAAAGCTGTAGTTGTATCTGAATTTTTTAGTTTGATTTGATTGCAAGTTTTTTAACACTTCTCACATTTTTAAATTTGGTAATATACTTTCTTTCTCTCTCCCCTAAAATTAAACTTCATAGAATTCAGTCTAGATTTGACACTTGCCAATCTAGAACTCATATCAGAGGACTGAAAGAGGAGGTCTCTGAATTAAGGATATGTCTGCACTACAGTGGCACAGCTTTGAGTCTGCAGCTGTGCTGCTGTAACAGCATAGTGTAGATTGCTCCTACATCGACAAGAAGGGATTTTTCTTGTTGTGGAGTTCATCCACCTCTAAGAGAGGTGATAACTGGGTCTACAGAAGAAATCTTCTGTCGACCTAGCTGCTTCTATGCTGGGGATTAGATTGATATAAATGAAGAGAGCTGGCTGATGGAGTTAGTAGTAGGAAAAGAAGGCAGCCAAACTGCATTAATACTACTTGAACTAGATGTAATGCTTTCCTAATATTTCTCTTCTGTGTAAGCAATTGCTATAACTGCCACATTGTTTGTAAATTATGAATGGACTCAGAGGTGGCCTTAAATACGAATAGGAGGGTGTCCATCATTTATCTCAAGATGGGAGGAACAAGGAAAGTTTGAGAAACCATGTTCATACAAAGCAACAGAGTCCTGTGGCACCTTTAAGACTAACAGATGTATTGGAGCATAAGCTTTCGTGGGTGAATGCCCATTTCGTCTCGTCAGATGCATAAATAGGAAAGTAGCCTAACAATAAGGGCTTGTCTAAAGAGTGGTTTTTTTTTTTTATACCATTTCACTCTGCCTAGAAACCAAGATAGTTAAATCAGTGTAACTCCCTAATGGGGCAGCAATTATACTGATATTGGTATAACTTATTTTGGCAAATCTGTCGAGCTCTTCTGGTGGCCCCTTACAGATGGCAGGTACACTTGCAGACAAGCTAAATAAGCATCTCTCTTTTTACCAAAAAAAAAAAAAAAAAAAAAAAAAAAGCTGAAATTCAAAAATCATAAGTCAGAGAAATCAAATTTCAAACAGTTCTTAACTCTGCCTCTTGCCCATATGCAGAATTTTATATTGCTGTTCTGTAGGATTAACGTGCAATGTAGAGTTACTAGGGGAATTGTGACTGAATCTTATGTGGCTAATGTGACATTCTGGATGACTTACAGCTTGGGTTACTTTTTTTTTTATAAGACAAGGTGGTGGAAGTTACTAACTTTTTTTTTTTTTTTTTAATTTGAATGTACAAACTAACTTGAGGTCAAACAAATAGATTCTGGTTCTGAACTCCTTTCCTGCTGGAAGTTAGTTTGTCAGCTGTGCATGTGGAACTGAAAATTGAAGAGACTTTATCCCTTAAAGTATACGCTGTCAAACATGAGGATGTATGTATTGTGCTCAGTTTAAGAGTTAGGGCTGGTCTATACTTAGCCGCTAGTTTGGCGGCTGGGGATTGAACTTCCGGGTTCGATTTATCGCGTCTGGTCTGGACGCGATAAATCGAACCAGGAAGTGCTCGCCGTCGACTGCGGTACTCCATCTCAACGAGAGGAGTACCGCGGAGTCGACGGGGGAGCCTGCCTGCCCCGTGTGGACCGCGTCTGAACCGTGGTAAGTTCGAAGTAAGGTATGTCGACTTCAGCTACGTTATTCACGTAGCTGAAGTTGCGTACCTTACTTCGACTTGGGGGGTTAGTGTAGACCAGGCCTTAGTGTCTCTTGTTCGCTTGGTTTCAGCAGTAATGGATGAGTGTATCGTGTTTTGAAAAAACTAGTCCATTACACCTTGAGACACACATTCTCAGGATAAACTTCCCAAAGCTACTGCAATTCAGGCACATACACTACCAGAAACTTAGCTATTGTTGCTTCTTGACATCTCACATTTCCCTTTTGGGCAAGAGCATTAGACCTTTGAGATGTGTAGTAACAAAGGGAGTAAAATTAAGCAGGGGACTGAACCTTTGTGCAGCTAAAGTTTCACACTAAAACATTTGTGTACAAACATGAATTTCTACTGCATTCAGTGTTGTACAGAAGGACATGTGGCAGTATTCATGGCTGCAGTCTATCACTTGTGGCTCACTTCATAAAGGCTCTCAGCAATGTGAAAGAGTTAGGACTCCTTAAATGAGACTCATCTAGGAAATATGTCAAGATATTTAGGAAGTCTGTAGTTATTTCTGCAGACTTGCCTTGTTCTTCCTTACTTGCTAACTTCCTGGTTTATGAAGTCTTAAGACTTTTTAAAAAACTAGTCCCTTTGTGCCCCTGACTTAGAAGAGAGCCTGGATGGGAGTTCAATTTTTCCTGCTTGTTTAACCTTAAATGTTAGGCCTGTAAAGTCCTGTGTGTTCTGGTTTTATTGGAGGACTTCTGTGAGGTCTCAGTTGTTTATGGTGCGCTTTTTCTGCTTAATGGACAAGGTTGGGGTGTAAAATCATGAAAGGCCCCCTTTATCCAAAATGTGAAAGGGAGTGGGAGGAGAACAAGCTTTGAACAATGAATATATCCTTTCCTTTTGATTACTGAATTTTCACCCTGGGCTCATGGTGTCACCATTTTACTTA